AAATTTTAAAATCGCGCCGGCCGAAAAGTCGCTCAGTGGGGGGGGGGGGGGGGGGGGGGGGGGGGGGGGGGTACAGAGCACAATTTTTTTTTTTTTTTTTTTTTTTTTTTTGCTCCCGAAAATTTGAAAAACGCGCCGGCCAAAAATTCGCTCAGTGGGGGGGGGGGGGGGGGGGGGTAGTGAGCACATTTTTTTTTTTTGATCCTCAAAAAAATTTCAATTTGCACCCCCCCCTTGAGCGCCAGGGGGGGGCCCAACCCCCAAAAATCGTAAAAATCACGTGATTTTACATGATTTTTTTCTCAAGGGGGGGGCCCGGGCCCCCCGGCCCCCCCCTGGATCCGCCACTGCATCAAGGGCACAGAGGGCACTTGTAAGCGCCCTTCGAATTGTAAAAAATCAAAAATAGGGGAATCTACAGAAAAGATAAGAAAGAAGTAGAAAGGTCAAGAAACATAAGACTTATTGGACCCCTCCCACACCCTACCGTTGTTCAGAGGCTTGAGAATGAGTGACGTACAGTGCGGCCCCCAAATAAAGTGAAGTGATCGGCCCATCGAAGTCAGTGATTACGGTACGCCACCGTCACAAATCACGCACCTATTTCGGTGGTACGCAGTAGGCCTATAAAGTACCCGAAAACTGCCCCTTTTTACATAGGAAAAGTGCCCCTTTAACTATAAAGAAGTGCCCCTTTTTACATAGGAAAAGAACCCCTTTTAATTTGACAAGTGCCCCTATTAATTTGCAACAGTGCCCCTTCCCTTTTCCACCTTTGATAAGTGCCTCTTATTTTGACACGTGCCCCTTTTATTTTGACACGTGCCCCTTTTCCTTCGACAAATTTCCTTTTTCTTTTATAATATGTGTCCATTTTCCATTCTCATAAGTGCCCCTTTAATCTCTAGTAAGTACCCCTTTTCAAATACGAAAAGAGCGCCCTCCAACTCTGATAATTGCCCTTTTAAGATCTTAGAGGTGCCCCTTTTAATTTGACAAGTGCCCTTTTCCTTTGTAAGAAGTCCCTTCCCCTTTTAATCACTACCCCTTTTTTTAACTCGGACAAGCGCACCTTATATTTTCACTTGTGCACCTGTTCCTTTCTAATAAGTGCCCCTTTTTCTAATGATAAGTGCCCCATACAAAAAAGAGCCCCTTCCCCTTCTCATATATGCCCCTTTTCATGTCTGTTCATTGATCCTTTTCAGGTACGAGAAATTAATCCTTTTTCACTTCAGAAAAGTGCCCCTTCACGTCCAATAAATGCCCCTATCAAAATCTGATCGGTTGCCACTTTTCTTTCAACTAATGCACATTTTCCTTCATCATAACTGTCCCTTTTTCATTCTCATAATTGCCCTTTTCACCTATGATAATTTCCCTTTTAACAATAATACGTGCCCCATTTCCTTTCTAATAAGAGACATATCCCCTTTTCATCTCTTATAAATGCCTTTATCAAAATCTGATGGGTGTCCCTTTTCCATCCCAAATGCCCAATTTTATTCTCATAAGTGCCCCTTTTCATCCCTGGTGAGTGTCTCTTTTGTAGGTGTAAGAAATGTCCCATTTTCACCATAATTGTACTTTGACACATGCTCCTTTTTTTTCTGATAAGTGTCCCCTTCAGTTCCTCTGACCATTAAACGCGCCCCTAATTTTGAGCAACTAAGAGCAATTTCCCCGAGAGCTCGCTCGCTACGCTCGCATTTATAGGTGATTATTATGTTACTTATCATCTTTTCAGTCTTCTGTTATGAGAATATGCTTATAACTCCATCAGGATTGGGTTTTTTCTCTTTAAAAGATGTAATTTTTCGCACTGCGATCTTACAAATCTTAAAAATTGTCCTCGCTTGCTCGATAATGTATTTTAGACCATCAGACCAAACAGCAAAGTATGATGCTGAAGCAATATCTTTGATCATCATGGTGTATAAAGAGAAACAAAATGTTGAAATCATCCCTGATAATGTAATCAAAATGTAGGGGTATATACCAATTTCTACAAAATTGTATATTTTCGCTTTGAGATTTCCCTTTGTAGGGGCCCTATTTCTCCAGATACTTGCTCTTTTTGTTGGTCCCCACCCAACTTTGGAAGTCCCTCAAACACTCCTGTATATTTAATTCTATTTTTATTTACATTTATAGGTTCAGTGAAATCAACATATATGGTCTTGTTCCTTTCTATAAAAAATCAGCTCATCTTTTCTTTCGCTTGGGGAACCCCCCGATGCGCCCGTGGCCTGCGGCCCGGCTCTCTCTCTCTCTCTCTCTCTCTCTCTCTCTCTCTCTCTCTCTCTCTCTCTCTCTCTTTCTCTCGCTCTCCTCTCTCTCTCTCTCTCTCTCTCTCTCTCTCTCTCTCTCTATGCAGGGCCATCTTGTTGTCAAGCAATACATTGCATGTCATGGTAGGCAGGGGCGTCGCTAGACCTTTTTCAGTGGGGGGTGTAGAGGCCAACAATTACCGACAAAACTAGCCATGCAATTACCGACAAAATTAAATGTCCAATATCTACAAATTCAACCCTATAAACCTGGGGCCGAAGGATAAATTGTTTTTTCCTATGGACTATCTATATAGTACTTGCATATGCGCAAAATGGTCATTTTCCTCGACGACATAAATATACGAATTATTTCTTCAATTTAGTCAGCATCATAGCTATATATTTTAATGCAGGCGCGGAGCTATAGGATCTTATTTTAGGGAGGGGGGTAGTGAACAAGAGAATCACTTAAAAGCGCGTTCATTAGTGGGTTGTGGGTGATGGGCCTCCCGCGCAAAGCGCGGAAGCTTAGACGTTTCCTTAAATTATTAGGAAAAGAAGACGATTAATTGTACCGTTTTCGACTGGTAATCCTTGGCTGTATGAAGTCTCCTCCCCCCCCCCCCCTTCCGCGCGAAGCGCGCGAAAGCTTAGACGTTTCATTGAATTATTATAAAACAGAAGACGATTTGCTGTACCGTTCTCGACTGTTTATCCTTTTCTGAATTCAGTTCCCACGCCTCCCGCTCAAAGCGAGGAAGCTTTGACGTTTCGTTTAAATTATTAGAGAAAGAACACGATTCGTTTTACCGTTTTCGACCCTAAATAAGCCCTATTAATTTTGTCTGAATTCAGTTTTCCCCTCTCGCGCGAAGCGCGGAAGCTTTGACGTTTCCTGAAATTATTAGAGAAAGAAGACGATTCGTTGTACCGTTCTCGACTCGTCTAAATGAAGTTTCCCCTTCCGCGCGAAGCCCGGAATTTTGGCGTTTCATCACAATTTAAAGAAAGGAAGACGATTCGTCGTACCGTTGTTGACTCTTAAACCTTGTTTTGAATTTAGTTTCCCGAAAAATTTTAAACCTCTGATTTATTTAGCTGATATTATAGGCAAGTGAAACTTCGAGAAAATACAAGTATTGTAGTTTTAGTCACTCTCGAAGTCGTCACAGCGGATAAGAAGTCATAGTTCGTAGGGGAAAAACATTGTCGGCCGACCGACAATATACATCTCACCGACTTCAAACTTCTGCATTGATATAGTACACGAGGATCGAGCAAGAATACCGACACTTGCAGCTGACCCGACACAGCAACATATTTACCCGTGTCTTTCTTGCTCCCTTGACGAGACGACTCTACCCAACAACCCCCTCTCTCTTTTACTCCCACTCCTCCTCTCTCAGACTCTTACCTCCCCTCTCTCTCCTCTCTTTCACCCCCCCCCGTTTCTTTTGTTTCCCTTTCACTCTTTTTTCCTTTTCTTTCTTTCCTTTCTTTCCTCTCCCCCCCCCCCCCCCCCCCCCCCCCCTCTTTTCTTTTTTCTCTTTCTTTCTTCTCTTTTTCTTCCTTTCTTTTCCTTTCTTTCCTTTTTTTTCCTTTCTTTCTTTTCTTTTCCTTTTCTTGTTTTCTTTTTTTTCCCCTTTCCCTCTTTTTTTCCCTCTCTTTTTTTCCCTCCCCCTTTTCTCTTTTTCCCGACGGCAGCGCAATTTTACCGACAATATCCTGACAGGTGGGGGTGTCGCACCCCCCACCCCCCCCCCCCCCCTTGGCGACGCCCCTGCATGTAGGTCCGTATTCTGAATTCTGGTTTAACTTTAAACCAGACTTCTGAATACGGGCCACTATGTTGGATAACATTATGAAGGGCTATAGCTAGGGCCCTCGCGTGGGCTGGATTTTATACATACCGATCATCAGATCTTTAATGATGTGTCTACTACTATTTTTTAAATGTTCATTGAATTGAATTGAATTTGAATTTATTAACAACATAACACTATGTTACAAATGCATTCAAGTGGGTAACAAAAGAATAACATGAGTTACAAAGAAAAAGAAAATATCCATAGTTGAACCAAACAGTACAAAATTAATCATATATCATGTATATCAAATCTGTGAATTAGCCATAACTTAATAATACGTAGAGATTTGGTTGGATTCCTTAAAGATACATAAAAGTGTGGCTGGAATTGAAATTCACAGAGTTCCAATAGTCAAATAAAGGATATTTTAAACTTAAAAACTTTAAATGATTGTTAAACTAAGGGAGAACAAAAAGTTAGCACGAGTGCTAGTCGGGATCGGTTCTCCGAGTTTCTAGTATAAAGTTATATTATGTATTCACACTCAACAATTAAGCAGGAACATTTATTTTGACTGACTGAATATCATATTATTTGAACCTTATGATTAATCTCTGCTTAAAAGTTTAATTCTGAGATTTTATACGAAATGATGATGTTTTTTCTTTTCTTATATTAATGGGCAAATTATTCCACAGGTTGTAACATGTTTCGATTCTACATTTATGTATTGATTATATTCTAATATTGTGGATTCTATTTCAATAAAATTAATTTGATTCGACTATAAATCTAAGAAAAATGGTTGTCAGTGTCACTTCCTCAACAAATCTACGTTTTGGTCATAGGTACCGAAGACCCTACTTGGTCGACTCTTATGGTGGACGATATTTGGGAGGTTCTTACGTACGTCGATTAGGCTGCTGGCGCATTACATAATAATCTGGTAGTGGTAGCGGTAGGCAGAGAAGTGCCAGTGGTAATTTTAACTAAATCTACACTATATCTCACGAGTGGGAAGACACTGACGCTTACTATCTCTAATATCTCACTATCTGATCCGAAAGAGGTAAATAATTTGCTTATTGTTTTGTGTTTGTGTATGTTAATTAGTCTATGTAGTGTTACTGTTAATGTTAGTGTTGGTGTTACTGATAACTTTAATTTTCTAGAAATCAGGCGAAGCGAAGCTGCCCGTGATGCGCGACAGTGCAGTGCCAGTGCAGCCGCGATGGCGATGCGCTGTGTGTAGCTATAGCCTAGGGCAGAGATAGAGCACTCCAGCAAAGCATAGAGAGTCATAGACCGAAAGCTTCAGTCTCTATAATCGTCGGTTGTTCCACTGAGACTACGTCTGGCTCCACTAGACCTCCGGTTATAGAGACAGAACGACTGCCTATGCCAGCCTGTGTTGAACTTATTCCGCTAGATTTTAGCCGCTAGGCCCCTCCCACAAACTTGCCACGGCCGTATTGTTATGCCCCCAAAATCCCCCAAAATGTCATTTTACCTCGTTCATTTCCAATTTTAAATTAGGCCTAGGCTATAATACATCGGTTCCACTTACTAACTTGATTGATATAATCCGTTTAATGGTCCCTTTTAAGGAAATTATCGGTCAAAATCGACATCCATGTTGAAAATCTTGCAAGCCGTTCGCTGCCGTCAATCTCATCCCTTCTAGTCTACGCCGAAGGCAAAATGATTATGAAGGAAAAACTGTGCGCCATCTACACGTTCGTAATGGCGTTATCACAGTTTTTCCTTCATAATCATTTTGCCTTCGGCGTAGACTAGAAGGGTTTGAGATTGACGGCAGCGAACGGCTTGCAAGATTTTCAACATGGATGTCGATTTTGACCGATAATTTCCTTAAAAGGGACCATTAAACGGATTATATCAATCAAGTTAGTAAGTGGAACCGATGTATATAGCCTAGGCCTAATTTAAAATTGGAAATGAACGAGGTAAAATGACATTTTGGGGGATTTTGGGGGCATAACAATACGGCCGTGGCAAGTTTGTGGGAGGGGCCTAGCGGCTAAAATCTAGCGGAATAAGTTCAAACACAGGCTGGCATAGGCAGTCGTTCAGTCTCCATAACCGGAGGTCTAGTGGAGCCAGACGTAGTCTCAGTGGAACAACCGACAATTATAGAGACTGAAGCTTTCGGTCTAGACAGTGCAGTGCCAGTGCAGCCGCGATGGCGATGCGCTGTGTGTAGCTATAGCCTAGGGCAGAGATAGAGCACTCCAGCAAAGCATAGAGAGTCAATGCTAATGCGTATAGGCCTTATCACAAATAGCCTTTGTCGCTGGGTGGTGCCCTTCGCGCAAAGGCCTCTGGGATAGAAAAGGGAGCAAACACGATCTCCGCTTTCGTGAAGTCATACAACGGTACACGTTTTGTATAGTACTACTCGAAGTCGAAGCTGTTTTTAATCAAATTTACTGCTCTTTCAGCCGCAGTTTCATGAGCTAAAGAACTAATCTTTGTTTTGTGGTAATACACTGCAATTACGGCAGATGGAGCTTGTAGGTTTTTACAGTTTTCAGCCACTGAACTCAAGAAGTTTTTGAGGGATAGGCGCGTACCAGTCAATGGTGAAAAGCACGCTGAACTTGCTGAAAAAGCCTATTGGACAGAAAAGCTTGATTGATGAGAAAGCTGAGCACTGAGGAGATTTTAAAGTGTCAGCAGGAAAAGTTGATACTTGATGATGGAAGATGGGTAGTCCAAGAAATCAACAATATTCATAATTTAAATCTCCATTTCCGAAAATGAATTGGAAGTTTGTTATCTTGTATGAAGCAAATACATGTCCTTAGTTTTTATGATCTGTAAATTTGTTTACATGATACTGATTGCTTTTTATAATGTATACGTATGAGAAATAAAGTAAATGTTCAATATAAGACAACTATCTTTCATGGCCTTGTATCTATTCATTTCTACTGTGTATGGACAGTTTTGTAATTTATGGAAGAGATAAAATGAGAGAAAATATCTTGATTACTCAATTGTACTTTTTTGTAAGGGTTAATAGCGATTCCAACATTTAATAAAGCTATTACAATGCGCGACGATTAAAAAAAATGATTCAGATATACTACTTGTTTAGTAATGAATATAAAGAGGGAAGAGATGTAAGTGTTGAGCTACTATAGAGGAGTGAATTAGAGACGTAATTGGTGAGAAAAAGTGTCGGAAAGAGAGGAGGAAAAGATGTACTTTTTGAGAAAAGTATAGAGGAGTGAAGAGATGTGCATGTTGAGAAGAGTACTGAAGAGATGTACTTGTTGAGAAAAGTATATAAGTGAGGAGGAAGAGATATATTGCCAAGAAAATTTATGGGAATGCCCCAGCCACCCCCCCCCCCCCCCCCCCCCCCCCCCCCCACCTCATCCACTTTGGCTACAACATTGCTAGCTGGGTATTTTAATGATCATCGATTACTCAACTTTTTATCTCTGAATATTTAATCACATTCTCTTTCACATTTTTATCCTCCATCTCATACATATACTGCTTGTAATGTAGCATTTGTTTCTTTTATTCTTTTATATTTTGCCAGCTCTTCTTTCGCATTCTTCAGACTTTCGCCCTTGTGTAAATGACTTATTCTTTTTCCATTTCTGCAAATCTCAAATCTAAATAAAAAGACACACAAAATATTTAGGTGCAATTGCATGTATTTGGATGTCTTCGCTATGATAAAAATATTATAGGATTGAAGAAAAAACACGCCTGGTCCACTGGACGTAGGCCTATAGTTCCGAGGATCTGTGCACTTGTGAAACCTTAGTTGTTAACATGGTTCTTCACAACATATCTGTGGGGAGAAGAAAAAGAAGACACAAATTAGATCAAGAATCATCTGAATCATGTTTACGATTTAAAATTGTCAATTGAACTTATTTTCTCATTTCGTTCAACTAATTTTTGCTGAAAACTTCCCCCATTCCGAATTCTAGACAAAAATTTTGATGATTGATTTAAATGTATTGAAAATCGCAGGGACAATCAAATGAATTAAACCAGGTAGATGAAAAGCATTAAGAAAGGCAAGGTCAGCTTTAGCGCCTGTTGTTGGCAACAACGCCATAGCTGTCCCGACACGATTCCCTTCGCCACTCGCTCGTAACACTGTTTCGATTAGATTTAGAGGCATGCAGTGCCTCCCACTTTGTCATCACAAAACTCGAAAGTAAAACATCAAAATCATTCTTATCTTTCTGGATATCTTCGGTTATTGTTGCATCCATAGACAGCACATCTGTCTGCACCACCCATCATGTAGAATCAATGTAATCAGTGAGTTTGCAAGACAAAATATCACGAGATGTTTGATCGGTATAGGAGCTGAAACTAAGTAGAATAAGCCAACGTTCGATGTACGTAGTATAGTACTTACGTGTGTACTATACACAGGGCGCGTCGGCTGCTAGCGTTTCGCATCGTCACAATCAGACGTTCTTGCTCCCTTTTCAATCCCATTGTCCCTTGCGTGAGGCTATTTGCGATAAGGCCTATTGAGATAGAGAGGAGGCCGGAGGATCAAGGAGTTGATCGTTTTCGCTTGACTTGTATTTAAATTTTAAAATGTTTGAGTTACACAAAAATAAGAATGTTATTGTCTTTTCATGGCATGGGGTAAGTCAAGTTAATCTATTATAAGTAGTCTATTATTAGTAAAGTATTAGCCTGACTGCACTGCTGAGATTGAGAACACAGCATTCTTCCAGAATCTTGGGTAACTTTTGTTTTAGTACTGTATGTAGGTTACGTTTAGTAATGCCTAAATACTAAGTAGTAAAGGTAGATTAGTTTTAGAAGTTGGTGCTTGCTTTGCACTGCAGGTCAGTTTTGTATCTATCTAGTAACAAAGTCGGATTTGGCTAACTCGGACCAGCAGCAATAACAGTCAGTTTTTGCAGGTTTAGGGTTAAAGTTGGGTTAAAATGACAAAAAGGATCTTTTTTGCAGCTGGGTCCGAGTTAACCCGGATCCCCAGAGTCATGTTTGTATGGAGGGGTGACCAAGTTCGCAGAGATTTTGAAAATGTTAGAGAATTTGATCTATGATTTAATACCAAGATGTAATTTGATATATTATATTGTTCCTTCTCATGCTTATTTCCTTTCTAACGCGCATTTCTTTTTCCTTTCTCTTTCCTTATCTTCTTCTCAACCCCACAACCCCACATGCAGCTCATCTTTTAGTATTATTTTCTGTACCCTCGATCTCTCACTTCTTTTTGTCATTGTCTACTCTTTGTATTATGACCGTGTTCTTCTATCTTTGTCGTGTAAAGTATTGTCTTGTCCCTTTCTCGTCTCTGTTGGCATTCCCCTTTTCTTTCCCCTATTTTATAGTTCCTTTTGTAGTTACATATTAGTTAATTTAATTACTCATTATTCCTAAGTTTCATTTGAGGTGTTCACACTTGTACAAGCATTGCTTTTTAGTGGACCCCTCTGTTTCCAACATGTATTTCTTAAATTTGTTTTAAATGCTTATAATTGATTTGTAATGTTTTGTTGGAAACATGAATAAATTTGAATTTGAATTTGAATTTACTACAAATTGGTTCAACTAGAAATTTATCGTCAAAAGGATTCCAGAGATATTGCGATCTAAAAATTTGATGTCAGATCGGCGTGCGCGGCGTGCAACTAAAAAATTGGGTCACGCGAGAAGTATGGTCACACCACCATACATGTATTGTCTTTTAAAAACATGAAAATTATTTTAATATTTGTTTAATGTTGCAGTAAATGGTTTCAGATAGGGAAGATAGTCATGTGACTACCTTATGTACAGAGTAAAGACTATAGTATAGATGTATTTTGTGCACTGTGACTTGAATATTTCTCCTTGTTTTCACCTGTACAAATTTGTTTTGTTTGTTTATGATAGAACATATGGTTTACGTGTGAAGTCAGTATGGCAGTATCGCATGTGTCAGCTGTGAGGACGCTATATAGACAGATTCTCCTGCTGCATCGACGTCTTCCCCTAGAGATGAAGGCTCTGGGAGATGAATATGTGAAAGCAGAATTCAGAAGGCACAAGAATGTTAAATCAGAAGAGGTCCAGAACTTCATGAGCGAATGGCAGGTAAGATATGATCAAAAGAGTTCAACTTAAGTTAATGGAGACAACATCTTTGTTAGAAAATGTGTTTTGATTCGATAGAAAGTACTAAATAATAAGGTTGATTTTTAAAGAACATTCCATTCAATTCAATTCAAAATGGTATTCATGTGAAGAAAAAAAAAAAAACCATCATGCATCACAAAAAAATCTTCAGAAATTACTATAAGGTTATCCTCATGTAAGGCATTTAAAAAAAATACTTTTTAAAGAATATTCAATTCAATACAATTCATATCAAAATGTTTTTAAAAGAAATCATGTGTCACAACATACATTGTACACTGTAATGGTCAGTTGTGCATAATTGACATGAAAATAACAGTATACCATAAGTAGAAACGAAAGAAAAATACATGTATCGGTTCATGTATTCCTACAACTACAAAATGTACAGGCAGAGTGCTTACATTATGATGGGGTAATTATGAAGAACTAAAAGTTGAACACTCTGATATACAGCTTTTGAAGGTATTTGTTTACAAATGTATGACAGAAAAGTATAAGCTGAAGATGAGATGAAGATTAAAGAATAGTAATTTATGGAACTGATGAAATTCAACTTAAAGAGATTATATTTTAAGAAAGCCTGCACTAAGTCTGTCACTTATTTATATGTGGGACTATAGGATACCAGCATGAAGTGCAAAAACATTTAACAATTGGGAGGAAGAGCCCCATTTAAAATGATTGTCATCAGAAACCAAATGTGACATTACTTGGCCTGTCAATAAACAAATCAGTGTAGAAGTATGCTCCAGTTTATTATTCCAGAATAATAACCTACCGGGTAAGTAAAATCTCATTACACATATGCGACCATTGCATTCATACATGTGTGTAGGTTAACCATCGCATGGAACTATAGTGATATCCATGTAAAATCATTTTTTTTTTATTGATCCAATTTCCAGGGGTATGCAGCAATGTTATCGGCTCAAACAGAAGGTGTGAAATCTGAGGGTGAGGTCAAACGGGTTGGTTTGCACCTTGATGGAAACCAATTAGAAGAACTAAACGACATCCAGGTCGGACAGCTCTATGAACTCTATCAAGAAACTAAAAAACCTTCCCAGTTTATGCAGAAAGAAGACTCATGACAGTACAATGATGTTTCTTCCTAGGAACATGAATTTCTGTTTTTTTGCAACTGTCCAGGCGAGACTGTATTGGAATCAGTGGATGATTCTGCATAGAGACTTGAAGATTTTACAGAATGGTATTCTTGCAAATAAAGGAGGGCAATTCCACGGTAACGGAAGGACACTCAGACAAGATTTTTGAACTTCAGGTTCATACTAAAAGAACTGTTTGATTAGTATAAGATGTGAAACATTACAGATATAATACCTATATAAGTGCCTTTAATTCTCCCCCAAAAAATTGTCATTATAGTTAAGTAGTTTAAGAATGTGCATATTAATTATCTCGGTAACGGAAGGACATAAAAATGGACATGGTTTTTCCAGTTAATTAGTGTTTATCCAAACTTTGTGAAGTTGATGAAGCTTTCCACTTGACTGAAACACATTTTGTTCCCCATAGTTTAATACATACTAATAAAACATTTCTTTTAGTATGAACCTGAAGTTCAAAAATCTTGTCTGAGTGTCCTTCCGTTACCGTGGAATTGCCCAGGAGTTTACAAGCAGGAAAGGACATGATTTAATGGATGACTATGCAAAGTGACATGAAGAACTGCATCTTTGAATATATCACATCCAGGTGGACATTCCTCAGGGCATAGGATTCTGATAAAGATTAAGAACATTGTGACTTGTGTACATCGTTTTCACATGCCGTATGTTTGCAGCATTTTGATTGAAATTTTCACACCATTTTGAAGGAAGTTCACTTTTTTTTTTTAATCATTATTGTTTTTACCCAAATTTAACTTATTGTCAGAGTTTGATTGCCCTCTCAAATACAATTCAACTAGATGTACTTTTACTACCAATCTACCATGCCAGTTTGAAATAGGAACTTGTATCGCACTATTATAAGCCACATAATATTCAGCTTGAATTCTCATCTCAAAATGAAAAGATTTAAAGCTGGAAATCTTTTATTTTTTCCAACTAACAACAACTAACAACTAACAATTTCATGCTTCCACCCACTGAAGGTGGTGCCAGAGGCTTAACGTTTTGTGTTTGTCAGCCTGTATGTCTATCCGCTTTCTCATTACCACAATATGTCATAAATCACTCAAGTTATGAACTACAAACTTGATGATAGTATGTATCACCATAGGAAGACGATCTGATTAGACTTTGGAGTTAGTAGGTCAAAGATCATAGAGGTCAATTTCTGAAATTATAGGTTTTAGCCTCAATGCGATTTTTCAAGTACCACTTGAGGTATGAACTTCAAACTTGGGTTGAGTACATGTATGTATCACCATAGGGAGACAGTCCGATCAGATTTTGGGTAAAAGGGTAAAAGATAAAATGTCATAGAGGTCAATTTTTGAAATTACAGGGTGAAATATAATTTATCTTGACTCGTCAAGAACTACTCCAGGTATGAACTTCAACTTGGTGCAAATATGTATCGCCAAATGAAAACAATCTGTTCAGATTTTTGGGAAGATTTAAAAAGATGAAATATCAAAGGTAATAGAGGTGAATTTCAATGAAATCTCAGGGTTTTAGCCCTTTTATTGCAATGTCTCATGAACAATTTGAGCCATGAACTTAGTGTGCATCACCATAGTGAGACAAATATACACTGGATTAGACAGGCCTGATAAATTCCTAATTTGAAAAAAAAAAAAAAAATCCTGATTTTTTTATATATTTTTTAGTGCTCACTAGTCCCCATCACCCCTGATTAGATTTTGAGTTAAAGAAGGTCAAAGGTCAACAAGTCTATAACATAGATTGAATGGTTTTTGACCGTGTTATGGCCAAATCAATTACTATTTTAAGAGTTTTTTTACCCTTGAACTTAGAACTTAGAACTGTAACTAGTATGTGTCACTGTAGGGAGACAAGTCGTCTGTCAAAATTTGTAACATTGTTATATACCAAGAATAATTAAAGTTGTGAAGTAAACTGAGGCAAAGGCATATTGGAGATGCAGTTACATAATGATACTAGTATGTTGTGGTGAAAGATTGTGTAAATTAGTCACCTGCACATGCAGGATTGGTTTTGGTTGATAATACTCTTTATCTTGTAGTCTCCAAAATCATATATAATTTTTCATCTATACCAAATTGAGTGAATTATTATGGATGAATGAGAAGGGCTTACCCCAGTTCACACAAAAAAAGAAACTTGGCTTTCATACTTTATAAAGGCGATCAATGGTATTTTCCTCCCAACTTTCTAATCGTTATTGTCTTTCTTTCTCTCTCTCTCTCTCTCTCTTCTCATCTCTCTCACTCAATCTACCTCTGATGTTTCGTTTTATTCATAATTTCTGATGTTTAAAAATTATAATACTAAGTGTTATTGCTATTAAGAGTCATTTACACATCTGTATTATTATTTTAATTTGTATTATAATTTTTTTTTTTTGTATATTGTGTGAATGATTTTAATAGACTTTATGACAGCCTTATAGCTGATGGCAGGTGTTTTAACTGTGGTTAAATAAATAAAACAAATAATAATAACAAATGCATTGAGATTAACTTTATTATGTCTAAGTTATATACAGCTTTACAATTTCTTAAAATTCACAAGGTTATGTCTGACATGATCACAAACAGAGGAGACGGGCTGAGACACAAAAACGCCTTATCCTAGGTCAAAAGGACAAGTTTAGAAGAAGAAGAAAAATTCTAGTTCATTAATTTTTTATCCAGGGATGAGGCAGGCCTTTTTCACCCAAGAATGAAGCAAACCTACCAGTATATCATTTCTTCTACATGTGTTTCATCAAAAATTAAAGATTTAACAAAAATATAAAAAATAAACATAAGATGCATGTACCATTGAAACTGGGGAAAGTTACATTAAAAAAACTTCCTCTATTTGCCCTATGCATCCCAACATTTCAAACTCATTCTCTTATGGTAACAGGATGGAAAACTAATTAGAGACCTGAAAAATAAGTAAACATGGAGGAAAGTAATCCATGTATTTTACTTCACTTTTGACCAAGTTCTAGTGTTATACTTTTCTACAGAAAAAGAAATTTATTTGTATTCAGAGTTGTTTACCATACTTAAAGGTACCATGTCCCATTTGCAGGCCAAAAAAATGAAAAAGTTAAATTCCAACTGCATTTGAAAGATAATACTAATTTAGAAGTTCCCTAAAAAAAGGTGGGGCTTGAAAATGTCTTCAAGTGGGAAAATAACGACTATTAGTTGTCAAATCGACTTTAGGGCTATAGAGCCCAAAAGTAATAGTCTTGATTTTAAGACGATTGTACCGAATGGTCATACGTTTTATGCTGCGCAAAGATTCAATCAGTTTAGTCTTGGCCATCACAAGAAGTGGTTTATTGATGTAGACAAATGCTCATGTACCCTTTACAACTCTTTTCATGTATGTTATTACCAAAGAAAAAAAAAACCAGTCAGTCACTCAATAGTGTCTGACAGTGAAGTCTAGCAAGTAAACGGGTTTCCTTGCATAATTTGAATATGAGGACACTGCTAACGTTTAAATTTCACAGATAGGATATACATGACATATTCATAATTCCTGCAAAGTTCTACAGAATTTGAGGTTGGCTGCAAAAGGGACATAGTACCTTTAAGAATGTATGTTGGTGGTTTGAATCAGCAAAATGTAAGAAAATACAATCTTGTTACGAATTGCATTTCACCAACTCTTTCACCTCTTTCTATCGTAAAGAACCAACTTGGATCAACTAATTGATCAAGAGGACATGGTGAACTTTGAGTAAACAATGCCAATACAAATACTGCTCATACTTCTCATCTTGCCTCTTGTAACTTCCAATTATATTACTTTACGACGATGCATGCTTGTAAAACAAAGGCATATAAGTCATGGATCCAGGAAATCTAAGTGAGAGTTTGTGAGTAAGGTGCAATTGATTTGATCAATCCAGATCGATCACAGCTCTATTACAAAGGGCCTAGGACTGCGTATCAGCATTACACAATGACTTATCTTAAAGAAAAAAATGTCCAATCTCGCCATATTTTTCTTTCAAAATTAAAAATGGAACAAGCCTCGGCAAATACTCGTGTCATGTGGATGATTTGCATTTGAAAAAATCCAAGATCTTTAACATTGATTTCTGACGAAATTCAGCCAATATCAGTGCTGTCCGAGAGTATAGCATTACAGTTCAGACTGACTTGTAACAGATTCATCAATGTTAGCACAGAGAACCAGTAGACATTAAATCTTGAGCAGGCATCAGTCCATGTACAAGTTCTAAACGAGGGTCTCAAATAAGATCTAGGCACCATCAAGTTCATCCTTCTGCTAGCCATTATCAAACGTGAAGAAATGCTGATACCATGTTGACATCACCTGACAGTGGCAGTGCTAGAGCCCCTCTTGACGAAGTTTTCAAACTGTTCTAGGTACTGAAAGACAGTATCTTCTGCATTGAAAGGCACTTCCTGTTTGTTGGCTAACATAGGGTGTGTGTTTGGTGTGTACTGAGCTCCCATGAAACCTTGCATAAACTCCACCATTAATGGCCAGCAGTCTTGAATGATGACACATGGTGTGTACTCTACCTGTACAATGAGATTAAAATGTAATAATCACAATTAGGGTAATATATCATTAAACCGATCGATTGCAAGTCCAACAGATGCTTTTCTTCAGAAATACACATCAGTTTGAAAAGTGTATTAGCTGTTAAGAAACTAGATGGAACTTCGACTGCGCGCAGTCGAAAATGATGCCTCCTTCATAGAGCAAGTTTACAAACCAAAACGGAAGAAATTTTTCAAATTCAGGTTTCATTGTAATCCATTAACAGGTTCTCAGAATATCGTGATTACAAGCAATTTCTCATATACATATATGACCCTTTGATCTTTGACCTCATGACCCTAAGATCTACTCAGTTCATTGGCTCTGCAAGATGTCCTGAGTTAAATAGTAATCCATCTGTCAGTTCTAATGAGAATGCGTTCACAAGCTATTTTTGGCATACATAATGAGCTGCATGACCTTTGACCTTGACCTCATGACCCAAAAATCTAATCAGTTCATCGGCTCTGCAAGTAACATACATGACCTAAGTTTGGCAGGAATCCATCAATCGGTTCTTGAGATAACGCGATCATGAGCTGTTTTTGCATACGTAATGTGCGCTGTGACCTTTGACCTTTGACCTCGTGACCCCAAAATCTAATCAGTTCATCAGCTCTGCAAGATACATACATGACCAAAGTTTAGCAGGAATCCATCAATCGGTTCTTCAGATAACGCGATCACAATTTTTTTTTGCATACATAATGAGCCGCATGAACTTTGACCTTTGACCTCGTGACCCCAAAATCTAATCAGTTCATCGGCTCTACAAGATACATACATGACCAAAGTTTGGCAGGAATCCATCAATCGGTTCTTCAGATAACGCGATCACGAGTTGTTTTTGCATATATAATGAGCCGCATGACCTTTGACCTTTGACCTCGAGGCCCCAAAATCTAATCAGTTCATCGGCTCTGCAAGATACATACATGACCAAAGTTTGGCAGGAATCCATTAATCGGTTCTTCAGATAACGCGATCACGAGAACGGGACGTACGTCCGTACGGACGGACGGACGGACGGACGGACAGACGGACGGACGGACAACCCGAAAACATAATGCCTCCGGCTACTTCGTAACGGAGGCATAAAAACAATATTACATGCTATAGTGAAAACCACATTATTTATCAAATCATTACTTAAAGCCCAAGTCCACTCCAAAAATAACTTACTTTCAATAGAACCAGAAAAATCAGACAAACCAATCAAAAAAAGTTTGAGCAAAATGGGATAACTAATAAGAAAGTTATGAAGTTTTAATGACATGAAAAACTTTGAAAATCACTACACAAATTGGCAACTCACCCATGAGTCTGTGACGTATGGTCCTCACTATCCACTAACTATTTTCTTTATATTGATGATATGAATTTCCTATTTTCACCCTAAGAATCTTATTTCTTCACACCAGCATCTAAGTTAGATTGTTAGTAACATGTTTTTGTGTGGATGCACAAATAAAGAGTAATTTTTGTCTGGTTAAATCATGAAAAATTGAATTTTGATAAACTATTTATATAAAAATCAATAATTATGAAATACAATATTCAGAAAATAGTATCAATTCTTCAAAATTCATAACAGTTTTGGGGAAATGTCATGCACGCAATATGATACAAATCATATAACCTGGGCAAAGGCATGGGGAAATCAAGTTTTGGGGGATAAAAGGGGAAATTAATGGGATTAAAGTATATAAAGCAATTGATAAGCTGTGAGGACATGACATCACAAACTTGTGTTGTGATTCTCATTGTTCTATAGTTTTGCATACTTTTTCAAAAATTCAAAACTTTCTTATTAGTAATCCGATTTTGCTCAATTTTTTTGATTGGTTTGTCTGATTTTTCTGCTTTTATTGAAAGTAAGTTATTTTTGGAGTGGACTTGCCCTTTAAACATCAATAAAAGTGTATTTTCCTGACCCACATTAATATGCGACTGAATAGAAGAATGGTCAAGTAAGTGATGGAATATTACCTCAACGAGTACTCCCCTGGCATGGGGCCCTAGAGAAACTATTCCAATCTTGATGATGAAATCACCCATCTCATAACGAGTTCCTTTGGACTCAATTCTGGCCGTCTTCTTGGGCACGTAGAATCCATTGAGCCGATGCATGATTGCCTCAAAAGAGTTCTCACACACTAGGCAGGTTCTGTTGTCTGTCACTGCATAGCATGTATAGGGTTGCTCTTTGTTGTGCATGACATGGATATACTTAAGTGGGACTGCATGTCAAAAGTAAAATGAAATTAATTAAAGAAGTGTGTGGAAAACATATATCCTTCATCTTCACAGCAATCAATCTAGCAGGCAGAAGAAACAGATTTGTCACTTAAATTAATGCTTTAATCATCCCCTTTCACATTTCCCAACAGTAGTGGTTAAGCAAAAGCGTCACATGAATTTCAAATACAGTATTGCTTGAAATAAAGTAGACACATTACCACCAAGTCACACCAAGGTCTATGGGATAATGCATGCAGTCAGGCGTGACACAGTGTGAGACTGTCATCTTTATTCCAAGCAATACTGTAGGACATCTTTCCTCCTGTTGTGGTAGGGGAAGCTGAATCTCTTTTTTAAGATGTGTTCACATTACACTGTACCCTTGGTTGCAGATAAATATATGAAGATAATATCAATAATAATACCAGTAACAAGAAGAAGGAGGAAAACATAAGTCACACATGAATCCAGTTGTTGTATGTTTTCATATTCTACACTTCCTACAGTTCAGAATAAATACAGAGTACCGAGTATGCTGTGTGTATGTAGGTCTCAAAGTAGGGGGAGTGTGCACTTAACAAAGTAGTGAATCCCTTTTCAGAATAATTATGAAAAAGCCTGCTTAATAATCAACTGGATATTGCTATGAAAAGATTTCTTACTTTCTCTAATTGGAAATGGCTAAGTTATTAATAATAATCTAGATATGAAGAAAGCTTTACAGATATTAGAGATGATTGGTAACTTATAAGTGATGGCTATTTTGACAAATGAAATCTCACCATTTGTTGGGACTGACTGGTAAGTTTCACAGTCTACTCCAAAATTGCCAGATTTTGAAGCACCCAATGCATCAAGACGCTTTGTGAGGACTTCAACGGCCTGAGGTACAGTCCTGTTCTCTGTTACTGGCCACTGTGTGACACTGCAAAAAATAACAAATAGAAAATTAGTATAGACCATCGGGGAGAAATAGGAGTTAGGTCTAGGACACTTTATTCTTCAAATTGCAGTATTACAAGGTTTCCCATTTGGTAATATTTTATCACCTCTACATTTTATCCTTTATTTTTTCACACATCTGATTTGAGAATCAACAGAACACAATACACAGCCAGGATAGTAATGCATTATGCAGCTACATGTCCGCAGGCCGTAAGCATAGCCATAGCCAGGCATAGCGGATCCGGGCTAACTCGGACCAGGGGACAACTCGGCCCAGCTGCAAAAACGGTCATTTTTTGTCATTTTACCCTAACTCTAACCCTAACACTAACCCTAACCCTAAACCTAAACATGCAAAAACTGACCGTTTTTGTACCTGGGCCGAGTTGTCCCCTGGTCCGAGTTAGCCCGACTCCGGCATAGCATAGGCATAGGCATAGCGCGGAAGCCGATCTCCATAATTATCCCTCACGAAACTCAATGCATGGGCACACGACAACGAGAATCACTAATGCACCTATCTTATTAATATTCTTAGGAACGTGGGTACATTACAATTCTTGAAAAGGAAATAGATTGTTCAAACACGATGTCAATAATTACATGTAAACACTCAAAATAAAAATAATTTACATACCACGTAACCCCCATATTTCGGAAGTTTGGGACGCTTGTCGGCCTTCTTTGTCTGGATCAGCAATGCACACCGAGTAGCGTACTACAATTAAAAATGTTCACTTTTGTAAATGTAGGATATGAAAACCATATACAGTTGTTGTTGTTTAGGTATATAGGCGTTTAATTACCACCGTGGAAATACACCTCAAGTCTTAAAATACGGATACAAGAAAGAACCCCACTCGATCAAGTAATTCAAATCAAAATAAAATCAGTCATCACTTCACTTGCAGAGATTCATCCTTTTGTTGGTACAATTTTTTCAGCTTTTTTTTTTTTGGGGGGGGGGGGGGGGGTGGTAGAAATTTGAGGTTGGCCTATGGCATATGGGGTCTGTGAGAATGATGCATCAATGTTGGAGAACGAGTGACACTCATCCTCATCCCCCCTCCAAAAAAAAAAAATATATATATATATATATATATATATAATAATAATAATAATAATAATAAATAAATAAAATAAAAATAAACAAATAAATTAAAATTAAAAAAAAAAATCAATCAATCAAGAATCAATAAATCAATAAATAGATTTATACTCACAAAAAAAGTTCTAATCTCGGATAAAAAATAACTTAAACATGATGTTCAGAGGCTGTGCAAATATTTAATTCAGTATACATTAAAGAGAAATCCAACTCCAATAGTAAAATACTCTAAATAGAAAGCAGAAAACCAGAAAGCAGTCTAGTAGAAGTTAGAATGAACGAAATCGTATAAAACGCAATAAAGTTATGAATTTTCAAACTTAAAATTACTAAACGTAAGGGGACTTGAAATTGGCTGAATCGGTAACGTCACTATGACGAAGTGTCGGATAACTTTTCCATATGTTCCAAGACACAAAAATGACTAAAATGTTATTTTTTTCTCAAAATTTATGATTTGGGAGTGGCGTTATATTTGCAGAAACTATGATAATATGCCATCCAAAATCTAGTTTTAGTAGTCCTCAAGGAAGAAGGCGCCTAAGAAAAAAAACTCAGAAATGTATGTATCTTAACTTTGTACGGACAAACTGAAGAGTTACCTGCAACTACGTAACATTCCAGTATACCCAAATTGACATTTTGTGAATCTCATAGCTTTACTGATCTCATATTTCAAGCACTCATATTTTGGTCATATTTGTTTCAAATTTTCGACATTCTGTTTCTCCTACTTTTCCGCTTTCATTACAAAAATTGGAATGCCTTTTAAAAATGATGTTGAGATGAAAGCGGCCTGCAATAAACACTCCTCCGATTTTGAAAAATATATAAAAAAACAATTTAATAAAAACAGCTAAACAAGCAAAATCTGTAATGCTGTTAAAGATAAAGATAGGCACCTGAATGTAAGCCAATAGATGTATAAGAATAGCGCCCTCTTTAACAAGCGTGACGGTAATAAAATATTTCGAATTTACCATTAATGAAAATTCAATATACACGAGAAAAAAAACTAATGCAAAAACACAAACCTATGTGTATTTTCAGACACTATCCATGTAGTCTGAAACTCTGAATACAATTATGAAGAAATATTCCTAATACAAAGAAGACGAAAAACAAAATACATGGTTCGCATTTCGCAATAATATCTTCATGAAATAACAGGTTCACCGTCGCCTAAAATATGTCAGAATCATCTTCTGAAAAACTCAACAGATCATCTGCTGCACCACTGCTGCCCAATACAGGGTAAACTATAGGCCTAATACATGGTTCGCAATATTTACCTTTATAAAATAACAGATTCATCGTCGCCTAAATTTTATAATCATCTTCTGAAAAAAATCAACAAATCATCTGCTGCCCAATACAGGGTAAGCTAGGCCTACACCCTCCTTCCCAAAACGTCCGAGGAGGGATATGTCAGCTTATGTGGAGGATAAACAATTTACATTGATATACATATTGGTTGGACTTTTGTTCAAATCAAGTGAATGTAAACAATATTATTTTAATCAAAATAATAATCGTGGTCATCCACACTTATAATGATTCGACACCTTTCACACCTTTCAATTCTATTTTCAAATGGATTCTCGTTGAGAAAAAATAAACTTCATATAATATTATAAAAATTTCATACAAGTATAAACGTTTCCAATCTAGAAAATCTAGAAATGTGTATAGGGTTGCGTTTTTATTCATGATAATGATATTCTTACAACAGACTAGTCATATTAAACTAATAATGTCTCACACCTACAAATAACTGGGTCCATTGTTAAAAGGTGTAAATCGTCTTGTAAATAGCGGCCCCAAATCTCCTGCCTATATGTTGATGACTTGTATTATTCGCCCACATTTATTTGCTCGTGACAGACGAGTGGAAATTAAAGAAGGGGTCTCTTCCCTTCCTGAACATGGACCACTATCCTGCTATTACGTAATCACCCCCCCCCCCCCCCCCCTGACTGACGAGAAGAGAGACGATAGAATTAGTATGAAGCAAAACAGATCTAGATGGCTAGAAAATATAATTTAACATTATCATTCGTCAAAAAATGTCAATGTTTTGTCAATAGGAAATTTCCTTTACATGAAAATAATTGATTAGTCAATTTCCCCCTTTTGTCTAATTTCTTCAGAGTGTTAGCATTAGTATAGTCCTGATTTTAAAAAGTCGTATCTGCAACTGTTCGAGTTTTAATCATTTCGTGGCTAAGATGGAAAGTGAGCACATAACAAGATTACATTATCTTTCGACGTGACAAATACAATAACTAATTTGGTATTGAATTAACCGAATTTTTAGAATGAGCGTTTCAGAATGATGAGGAGTACTCCTTCCATGAATCTTAAAAGTTAAAGGGCTCACAAGTGATGATATTTTTCACGGTGATCTTTTCATCTTTACCTCTTTGCAATCCTCATTATGAAGTTATGTTTGTTTTAGAATCTTCTAATCTGTTCTAATCAATAGTGTATATGGGAATGATTGTTAGATCTTTACGTATTTTTCTTCTCAATTGCTTTGGTCTATTATTCTCTCTTTCCCTCTCTTTCTCTCACTAACACACACACATAGACAGTCTCTCCCTCTCTCTTTCTCTCTCTCTTTCTCTCCTACTCTCTCTCTCTCTCTCTCTCTCTCTCTCTCTCTCTTTCTTTCTTTCTCTCTCGGTCATGTTCGACATTAAGCCTTCTAATTCTGCGAAGGTTATTGTTCCCATGCACTTTCATTGGGACGTCATTTTCCTTTGATACATTCACCAGAGGATTAAGGAATGCTTACCCTAACAATATGCCATCATGAGCAGCCTTTCTCTCTATCAGATCACTCAAACATACCTCCTTTTGTTATATTTAACGCCTACCAGACCGATAAATTATTTACAATGCCATGTTACACATGCTAAAGTTAAAAGTGATGCCCACGTAATACCGGACCCTGTGATTGCCGAATCCTAATGCAAAGACTCGACACGAAGTTATAAAGCACAACTATTATCACCATCATAATTATCATCGACATCACCCTCATCCTCGCTTTGATCCTCGTTTTCGTTTTTCAGGGACAGATTCTGCCTAATGCACTGAATATCTATACAGCCATAATGAGCCATTTCTTTTTTGCCCCTATATACTATACAATTTTTTTTTAAATAGCGGAATACAAGTTTGTTAGTACGCCGGCCTCACCTTTGAGAGAGGTTTGCCCGACTTTGGCACGAAATTATAGCCGCCAAAGTACAATTTGAATAAAAATAAATAATTTGTTAAGTATATAATCTCAAAGGAGTAAACGCCATTTTCTTAAACCTTGACGGATGTGTAGGACTATATAAATACACAAATAAAATTCAATTAATTCGGAGTTTAATTGTGAACTAAAATCTTTATTATTTTGAAAGGTGGCACGCATTTCAGGATGGGAATGGGATATAGGGAAATTTTAGGATCATAATGATCGTGATTGATTTGTATAAATCTGTTGGCATTTTATCAAAGGGCTGGGCAGTATGTATATGCCTTTGTTGGATAGAAACAGTAGCAGAAAGCTTTCTGATCTCACATAATAATAATGTTGAAATGTTATTCTCAATGGCCTTTAAGACAAAGGATTAGACTATTTAATTGTGATTAAGTACTTTGGTCAAGCTAATATGTCCTCTTGCTAGTTTCTCGTCACCCCAATCCCAAATTTATCACAGAAGATACACTTTGCATCACTTTGGCACTCGTCAATATATCTATGGGCACATTTTCTAAAATAAATTTTGCGAGCGAGCGAATCGAGCGAGAAAAATAGAAAGAAGAAAACATTAATTATGTTGAAATGTTGAGGGAGTGAAATAAACGAGGGTGGTATAATTGTAATTTCGATATTTAATTTTTTTTAAAGATATATTCGGACACCTTGCTGCCCGAATATGACAATATACTGCTGCCTACCGTAGCAACAAGCAGAGTTGGCAAAAGACTTAACTCCGTTTCGTTGGCGATCAGCCATGCAGGCAGCCAGTGAAAACGATTTCGTTTAATCAAATTATGGAAATGCAAGGATTTTTTTAAACAAACAGGATTTTGTTATTTCTGATTAAGGTGTCATATGAAAGGGTAGAAAATGAACTTTCTAGAAATGTGATTTTTTTCTTTAAATTCAAATACCGCCCGCCAAATGACTGTTTGGTACCCTCTCTTCAAATTGTTTTTATTCACTCATGCGTTAAATGTGCAACATTATGAGTTGCATCAAAATTGAAAGAGGAGGATCTAAGTTTTACAAATATGTGTTATTTATTAATTTTAATTGTGATTAAGTTATGCGGATAAAACATCGATAAGTCTCGGTTTCGTTTTTTTCTGGGACGCACTGTATACCCTGGCACCTCGCTATCAAATCAAAGAATATTCGGGCGCCTCTAAATAATTATGAAGGTATTCAGGCATTTTGCTGCCGGAAATAATCTCGTTTTAAACCTTACGAGCGAGTGAAGCGAGAGAGGAAAAAAGGTACTTCATTATCTTTAAAACGTTTTCTCCTCATGAAAATCTATCAAGGCCTTTTTTCACTAATTTCACATAATTTGTTTTTCTCAAAATTGACGTTATTAATAACTTTTTTGATGTAACCAAATTTCT